CTCCAATTCTAAATCTGGTCATAATTGGGATCCAGTTGTGAAGAATGTCTCCCAGACTTAATTGAGGGTAAACTTTGAAGTCATTCTAAAATCTTTTTTGTTTTTTCTGGACTTTAGCTGGAGGTAAATAAATTTCATAAAGTTCATTTTGATTGTCACTATTTGTGCTTAAAAAGTCTCCTTCCAAATAGTTACTTTCTTTTTATAATCTTTTCTTTCACTTGATATGAACTCTTCCTCAACTTTCTTGTCGTCCATGGGACACATTAAAACTAACCTTTTATATAGAAATTTGCTTCTAAACTGCTTGTGGGTTTGTTTTTTTATTAAAAATACTCTATATATTAATAAATGTTTATTTTTTTCAAAATTGGCTAATATTGCGCTTGTGGATTTTTATCTTTTTTTTTAATACTTTCTTTTTGATAAAAACCCATTATTAGTGTTTATTAATTTTTGCCTCAAAGTGTACATACATCAACTGATATAGCCATAGGCGAAGCAGTGTATGCTTACGACTGATTTAGAAATAAACGCACCAAATTCTAAATACAAAGACTGACTTGAATAGGGATAGGCAAAGTGAAATGTATGTTCCACCGACTGATTTTGATAGGGTTGGACCTGTATAGAGTGTACATAGATTGACTGAGGGTTTTGGTTTGGGTAGGCAGTACATAATTAAAAAAAAAAGTCTTTTTTTTTTTATACTGGCGCAAAAAAAGTTATCAAAGTAAATTAAATAAAAATATATATAATAAAATAAATAGATATATAATTTAAATTGTTTTTCTAATAACAAAACTAACAAACTAACCAAATCACTGTATTTATTACAATAAAATTATTTCTTTACATGCGCTGATGGTAATTAATCTCAGAATTATTTGCCGGCACTGAATTCAATTACCGCCAGCCAAATAAAATTGAAACATATAATTATACAACATTTTTTGTATAACATAATTTAGTCTAGTATTAATATAAAAATATATTACATATGTGGGAGGACAAGGGTGGCAATGCAAATAAAATATTTTTATTATATCTTTAATAAAATATTTTTATTATACCTTTAATCAGCAAATACTCCGTTTCGTTAGGATAAAAAGCTCAACTTAATTACAAATGTTTAGACAAATGCATTGCTAAATATCGTAACTCTCTGTAAAGAATAAAAAATAAAATATAGCAAAAACATTTGCTAAAAATATAATCTTTTTGTACTAAAAAGTAGAAAATAAAATTTTTAGTTTAAATTTAATTGTTCCGTAAACTAAAGATTGACAGGTATGTTTCTAAATAAACCTTGCGCAGACTTGTCAATCTTTAGTTTACGGAACTATTAAATTTAAATTAGAAAATTTTTCTTTTCTACTTTTTAGTACAAAAAGATTATATTTTTAGCAAATGTTTTTGCTATATTTTTTTTCTTTTTTTTTTCAGCATGCCTTTGGATCTTCTCTGACATTTTTAAAAGTTTTTCCTGTGCAATGTGAACATTTTTACTAAATGTCTTATGAATGTTGCCTAACTTAACCATATCCCTCTCAGACAATGCCTCAAAAATTTTACTTTTAGCCTTGTCATCCCTATTTTTTTCTCACTCGTCATCCCTATTAAATCATATATGTTTGATTTTTAAATAGAAAAAAGCGCACTACTCTCTTTCAAAAAGCTGTCCACCTTCTTTTGTAGTTGCCTTTGAGCAAATCTAGTGTTTTAAGCATTTTTAAAGTGTGATATTCTTTAACTTTCTTGGTAATTCTGTTCTTTATAGTTTGTTTGGTCACAGCTCCCTCAAAAAACATTCTTTTGTATTTAACTGCTTGGTGTTCTTTCCACACACTCCATTAGCAAATCTGGAGCATCTTAAATAAGTCTTACCAGAAGCAACTGGGCAGCCAGTTTTGACACAATCTAATTTAAGTAAGTTAATTATTTGATTGTCGCGCTCTTTTTCTAGAGACATTTTCTAAAATCAACAATTTTTCATTTAAAATAAAATCAGAATAGTTGGATACACATTATAATGGAAAACTTTTTTATTACTATTATTTTATTGCCATCGTTTAATTTAAATATTTATTATAAATAAATTTTATATTTTGATAATATAATATTTAATTTATTTTAATTTAATATTAAATGATCCCACATGAAAATGCAGAATCTTGCATCGATGTAACCAATGCAATATACCTGTTAAAAAAATTGTATGTCAAGTCTAAAACAAATAACTACTGGGTCAGATTTTAGATGTTAATTTAATGTACTTTTTTTGTAAAACCAAGATATATGGAATTTGTTTTAAATTATTTTCTAAAGATGAAATCGACCAAACATGAGCATAATTAGAAAAAAGATATTTAGGTGGAAGGACAGTTCCTGGCACAAGGACATACCATCATTTTCCAATTGCCTCAAATACTTTTTTTTTAAAAAAAGCAAGTATTGAAATATTTGATTACGATTAAAAAATTTTGATATTTGACTTTATTAAACATTAAAAAAATGGATTACATTGCATGTTTTTATGACAGATTTTAATGGTTAGGGATTGCTGAAGATGTAAGTGAGCTTGATATAAAAGTCAGATTCATGCATCCACATGGACCAGATAAAAACTTTTTTTGGCCAATGAGAAATGATGAGTGTTGGGTGCTCAATTCTGAAGTTCTATGTCAAAATTCTACACCCACAACTATATCAGGTTGTACGTACAACATATCTGATTTAGATTTGGAAAATATATGCAGTTGGTTATACAAAAAAATTAAATACATTAAAATTAATTTTTTTGTAATTTTATTTACCTCATTTTCATTCAAAATTTGTCTTTCTTTCTTCAAATCCTTGGATGGAAGGCTGAGAAGGATGGGGTTTAAATAAATCCCTCCTTATGTCAATGACTATATTAGTATTATTCTACTAAATAATACCATAAAAAAGTTTTTTTTTTAAATATTTTATTATTTTTAAAATGTTAAAAACATTTCAATATTTTTGGTTTTAAAATTTATGATTTTTAAAATTGTGAAAAGTTCTTAGTTTTAATTGCTTAGGGGTTGTCCATAAAGTACGTATGCCAAAAAATTCTGAAATTTGACATCCTTCCCTGTTGCCATGCGTACTTTTAAGTCTCCACCCCCTTTAAAATGTAAGTACGTTTTTCATAAACCCCACCCACATGCAAACCAAGAATGTTTATTAAATAAAAAATTGGAATTGATTTCTAAATGCATGCACAAAAATAAAAGTTTCTCCTAAAAAACTATAAGTGAGCTCAAATATTAGTCACAATAAATCCTCTTTTTAAAAAATACTTTTCAATAAAAAAATTTATTGAAAAAAAAAAGGTGGAGAAGATAATTAGACCCTAGATAATTCAAAAGTATTTAGGGTTTTGGTTTTAAAATGTATGATTTTTAAAATCGTGAAAAGTTATTAGTTTTAATAGCATAGGGGTTGTCCATAAAGTATGTATGCCAAAAATTATGAAATTTGACATCGTTCTCCCCCTGTTGCCATACGTACTTTTAAGTCCCCACCCCCTTTAAAAAGTACGTACGTTCCCCCCCCCCCTAATCAAACCTCCTCCACCTTTTTTAATACAATAAATTTTTATATTAAAAAAAAAAAAAAATAGGGAATGGGAATGAAAGACTTATAAAGCTTTTGCTATTTTAAAGAGCTTTTTATTTTAGCAAAAAGTAATGGTAAACAAAAAAACAATTGTCCAACGAGTGGAAGTTGTTTATCAAATTTTTATTTATCAGTTGTTTATGTAAACTAAATTTGATATATAAATGTGTTGTTTCATCTAAGAATATACCTGATAAACAATATATTGGCATAACAGAGGGTGAATGGAAAAAACGTTTTGCCAATCATAAGCAATTTTTTAAAAATAAAAAGTATTCAAAAGACACCATGTCTTTTGAATACTTTTTATTTTTAAAAAATGCACTAAGTTATATATGGGAATTAAAAGATAAAATATTGATGATTTTATACTGAATTGGTGCATACTTAAAACAGGACCTGCATATAACAATATTTCCAAAAAATGCATATTATGCCTACAAGAAAAATTTAAAACAATTACACATGCAAACCAAGAATGTTTATTAAATAAAAAATTGGAATTGATTTCTAAATGCATGCAAGAGAATAAAAGTTTCTCCTAAAAAAATATAAATGAGCTCAAATATTAGTCACAATAAATCCTCTTTTTAAAAAATATTTTTTAAAAAAAGCAATAGTAATCATTTCTAAAGAATTCTTTTTATAATAGTGTCAGCAAGTTTCACAAATGTATTAAAATATACAGTAAATAAGAATTTTGCAACTTCCTGTAATTTAATTTTTGGTATAAATTAAAGTTTTATTAATTTGATCATGCATTTTTGATGAATCTTTATTAATGAAACACTGTGTTAAATAAATAAATAAATTTTTAAGTGATTTTTTACTCATTTAAGCACCTTTTAATGGTTAATTACACAAAAACTACTTAACAGATTTTTGTAGTTTTTTAACACAATGAAGCTAATTAAATTATTTATTCATTTCAATAATTTTTTGCATTTTTTATTAGATACTTAGATAAAAACCGAATATCTTTGCCAGTACTTAACATTATCTGCTGGACCTTGCTTTGAGACGCTTTTTTTTTAAGGCTATTCATTTTTTCTTAAAATCTTTTATATTTGTAACTAATTTTTTGCTTCTCAATAAGATTCCTTTTATAATTGACCAATAACTTTCAATAAATTGCTGCTCCGGATAATTTGGATGATTTGCTTCCTTAGGTACAAATTTGACGCCATTTTGTTCCTTCTATTCAAGAGACTTCTTGGAGTAATGAGTTGTAGCCAAATTATTTTTAGCTTGTTAGTTAACTTTGAAATATACCTAAATACATTTTTATTATAAAAAATTTGAACAATAATATATTATATGTTTACAATTTTATACATTAAGAAATTTTTTTATAGAGCATGTCAATATGGAAGGCTATCAATTGTGAAGTTGTTAGACAAGAAAAGAGCTATGCTTGACATTAAAGGTAAAAACAACTATACTCCTATTATGTGTGCTGTTTGGAAAGGGCATGTAAAAGTTATTAAATATTTGATCAATCGAGGAGTTCAAATCAATTTAACTGATGTTAACAACAAGAATGTTTTCCATATTGCTGTTCAAGAAAATCAGTTTGAAGTTTTAGAGTTTTTATCAGAGCAAGATTCAATGAATATAATAAATGATGTTGATAACGAGTATAAGACCCCTGTACACTATGCTGCAGCAGAAGGAAGTATTCAGGTTTATTTTTTCTTATTATAGATTTTATTCAAGAAATTTTTTTGTGTTAAAATTAATGTTAACTTCAGTTATTACTTGTATATTTTAGGCATTAGATATTTTGATTAAAAAAAATGCATCTATTGATATTGGAGAACTTTATGAAAGAACACCTCTTCATTTGGCTGCTGAGCATGGTCATTTATCTTGTGTAAAACTGCTTATATCTATCTCTACTGCTGAAGTTAACTCAACTGATGTTCAAGGAATGACGCCGCTTCATTTGGCTGCATCAAATAATCACAAGTAACTTTTTATTGTAATCAATAACAATGTGTATGAAATCTGAATCAATGTTTTCTTTTAAACTCCTGTTTTTTTGTGAGCAAAAAAGTAATTTTCTATAATCACTCATGACATAAGTGATAATTTTCTTTCTTTTTTTTTTCTTTTTTTTTTTCTTTTTTTTTTTTAATTTATTTTTAAATCTGCTTTTTTTAAGTGCATCTTCATACACACATTTTAAAGAGTTGAAAATATTTTCATTAGAAGAGTTTTGATTTAGTATATTGTTAATTGAAATAGAAATTTGTTTTAAGATTTGAGGGGGATGATTTGAATTTATATTAATATACAATATTTCATCATAAGGCCTATAAAAATTTTCTGAGAGGTTAAATGTGGCATCAGAAAAATTCACAATTTTTAAACTAATGTTTATTTCAATTTGGAAGCCAATGTTTTTAAAATTTTTAATAATATTTTTTCTGATTTTGTCATGTTGAGGCCCTGATTTTTTTTGCATTATTATTAAACCATCATCGCGATACAATCCTAATTGATTAAAATTAACTATTTTAGTTAGGGAATTTAAAATATATAAGCCTACAAATTCGCAAATTTCTGCTCCATTGTAACTTTCAATTGTTACATCAAAGCATTCGTGCATGATTTTTTTCTTCCACATCTCGTTATTAAAATAAAGTAATGTTTTTCTGCAATGTTTAATTAGATGAACAGTGTCATCTGTAATTTCAGTGTGGATTTTTCCAAGTTTTATTGTTTTATCTAAAATTTCTGCTGTAATTGAGGGGTAAAAATCATTAATATCAAATTGTATAAATGTACATTCATTTTTAATAATAATTTTAGAAAACCAATTTATAACATCAGTGGCATTTTTCCACTGTTGCAAATTTAATTGTTTTCTAATAATATTATTTATTTCTTCTAATTTAATTTTAGTAATGTGCCCTAGTTCACCTTTTGAAGGTACAAGTAGCCTACAAGAGGGTTTATTTTGAAAATTTGGTTTGTGGTTTTGTAGTCTGATAAATGCTTGCCCTGATGCGACTGATTCAATTCTAGCTTCTAAATTAATTGTTTTAACAATGTTTTGACCTTCTAAATTAAATTGAATTTTCTAAGTTTTTTAGGGCTTTTGCATAATTATTAGAAATATCATCGTGCAGTAATTTATGGTGATTACCTGGGGCAATTAGGTATATGTTGCTTGTTTTATTAGCAAAAACTAAAATATTAGGGTTTGATTTTATATTATTAATATTTAATTTGAGTTACTTTTGGAAATCATTACTAATATTTCAAAATTTTATTGTTTTGATCAAGTGTAATAAATTGTTAATAAATGGTGGGGCGTTTTTTGTTTTGAATCCAAAGTTTTCTTTTTGGTTATTTTCAATTATAGGATTTTTATTGTTTGCAGATTCTAAGAAAAAATGAACTTTCCAACGAATTCTTTTTATAAAGTGTTCTATTTTTTCAATTAAAAAAATATATATATCTTTTTTTGTCTGGGATTGGGATATATATTATATTTAAAATTGTTAGTTTTCATGTTATGTTATGTAAAATACAATTAAGAGTGCTAATCAAGTATAATCCTGGAGCCTAATATATAAATTATGTTAGTGTATTCTACAAATAGTGCAGTTTGTTTACTCATAATATTGCTAAGCTTGTTAAAGTAATTTAGAATAATTTATAATTAGAAATTATTTCTTTTTTAAAATATAAGTCACTTATTTAAAATAATTGATGTAAATAAATTAATATTTGTTGAGAAATAAAAACTTTTAACATGAAAAAAATATTTTTTCGTTAAAACTTTTTTTATTGTTTGCATTGCAACGTTTTTGCTTATTTGATTTCATGGTTTTTTTAATTATAAATTTTGCCGTTTTTTTTTAATCATAACAGAACGTTAATCTCATAAGTTATATTTAATAACATTTTTTAAATGCCTAAATCAAATGCTAAAAGATCAAAAGCTTATAGAGCAAGAAACAGAAAAGCGTTGTTGGAAAAAAAAGAAAGAAAAGTTATAAAAAATGGCAGTTATCAAAAAACACAACAGAAACAAAAACAAGCTAAAAAACAAGTGAAAGTTGGCAACCAAAGCTTGAAAACAATTTTGAAATTGATATTTTTTTTGATTGTGTTGTTTTATTTATTGTTTTTCCAAATTAGATTTTTCGTTATAATTTCGTTATGACTATGAAAGCATATAATAACATCAATATATACTAAGTACACACACCAAATGATTTTTTTTTTTTACCATGCCATTCGCTGCAATTAGTTTGACAAAGCTGTTTTGTTTAGAAGTCGTAAAAAGTAAACGTTACGACCGTCACGCTACGCAGAGTTAATTTTTAAAAAATAAATAAAACTTCAAGACTGTTACATACTAAATTATGTAATAGTATTCCAGATTTCTGAGAAGTTTCAAGTCATTTCCATTTTTGGTTCATTTTTAACTATGTGTTTATATATATTAGGGGCTATTCTAGATGGTTTTCGAAAGCATCAACTGTACTTGGGCAATGATTTGGGTGCCGCCAAAATTAAAAATTAAGGAACATTTTTATTTTATTTTTTTTACAGAAAATATTGTATTTTTGAAGAAAAAAATAAAGCAATATTATAGCTTAATTTCCCCAGGACATGGGTGGTGTAATGCTGCCTAAATTTAAAGAAATTTGTTGTTTTTTCAAACAATACTTGCTTTGAAAAAAAAAAAGTCCTCTATTTGGCGCTCTCAAAAATGATCTAGAATAGCCTCTGATATATATATATATATATATATATATATATATATATATATATATATATATATATATATATATATATATATATATATATATATATATATATATATATATATATATATATATATATACATGTATATATATATATGTATATATATATATATATATATATATATATATATATATGTATATATATATATATATATATATATATATATATATATATATATATATATATATATATATATATATATATATATATATATATGTATATATATATATATATATATATATTTATATATATGTATATATATATATATATATATATATATATATATATATATATATATATATATATATGTATATAATATATATATATATATATATATATATATATATATATATATATATATATATATATATATATATATATATATATATATATATATATATTCAGGTGATAACTTTTGTATGGCCATGGTGCCACACAATGAGTTTTAGACTAAAAATAAAAGATGTCTTGATTATAATTTAAAAAAAATTAAAAAACTTCACCATAAAGCAAAAAAGGTTTTGTTGATTTTAGGCCTTTTCAATATAAAGTCATGGATTTCTTATAAACTCTTTTCAATACAAATTCATGAATTTCTAATTAACTTAAACTGCTGATGCTTAAACAATTAGTATCAGTATAACTTTTAAATTTTTACAAAAACTTTTTTTTTTTATTGATTGTTTTTTCAGTTTTTGCATAAACCATAATTTCATTTACTGTTTTCATTGCAAGTTCTGCACAAATATTGGGTCTTGCAGTATTTATAACAGTTTCTTGATTACACCAGTATCTTAAAGTAGGTTTTTTTGCTTTTGCATACTGTTTATCTACAGCTAATAAAACTTCATAGTTTTTCTAATATAATAGTGACTAGAAAACCAGATATTCATCCATTTACCAGTAACAAAATTGCATGCTGGTTGCAGTTACTACCAATCTTCTGGCAAATCACACAAGAACTTTATGTCATCTTGCCATACCACTGCTGGTATGCTGATAATTGGCATTGATTGTTTGAAAGTTTTAATTAATACATCATAAACTTGTATCAGTTCATCAACAAAAAAGTAATTTATATTTGGTGACTATGTTTTGCCTCCAAAAATTTTGTCCATGACTTGTTTCATTAACAAATCTAAAGCATGATGTTGGTAACTAATATATTGTGGAATTTCCGAATTCCTGGCTATAAACTCTTTTTTTAAATATGCTACAACACCACCTTTTGTTCCAGTATTTGTGGTTGTTGTGTCAGAAATAACCACTTTTATTACTTCCCATATAACAAATTCCTTTAACAAATTAATCAATGCTGAAACAATTATTTTGGCTTTGCCATCTTCTAAAAGCAAGACTGCCAGCATTTTTAAGCCTTTATCTTTTAAACTACAGCTTGCATTTCTATCTGTTTGATTTTCTTGCCATCAAAATGTGTCCATAAAAACTTTTTAAATAATTTTTTTAAATTTTTCTTTGATTCTATCAGCTTCTTTTATAAACTGCTTTGCAAATATCTGCCTGTGTTGGAGTTGCAATATTAATACCTTCTTCTGACTATTGATGAAATACTTTTGTGTGTATTTAGCTTTACATTCTTTACTAAAGAAGCTTTTCTTTTTTTTTTAAGGTCTACTGAAGTTGCTAGTAGATAGGGCAAAATCACTGTCAGTCTCTCTTTTATTGTTACTTGAGTCAGGGTAAGTGGTTTTTATTTGATGGTTTTGCTGACAACAGTTACTTAATTTTTAATACTGATTTGAAACTGATTTCACTGTCATTGCTGAAAAATTCACTTTGCTACATAATGAAATTAATTCACAGGCGATAACTTTGCATCTTTTGAAAACAGATTTCTCTAAAGAGGCCAAGTAATTTACTTTCCCTAAAACAACTAGTGTATTAGTCATTTTAATTATCTTGTCAAGTGGTTCTTCACTTTTATTGATTTCTGATCTTTTTGATTTTGCTTTCTCAAAATGAACTTAATTACTTTCTTATTTTTGTTTATAATATCATGTTTATTTTATACATCCCTACCTAAAAATATTTAAATAATGAAATATTCTTTATAATCTTAAAAACTACATTATAAAAAATGTACTTACACATTAAAAAATAACTTTAGCAAGGTTTTGTATAACAAAAGAAAAAATGAAAAATACTGAATTAAGTGTTATGAAAAGTAAACTAGCTAGTTTTTAAAAAGTAGTCTATGAGGCACATTTTCATCATCAAGATATATATAGTTTCACCATTTCTAAAATTAGTTTCATCTCTTAATGTTAATACCAGTAAAAAATATTGAAAAATTTGAATAAGTTATTATCCTAATAACTTTAGCCTAAATATTAGCTTAATAACCATATATATTATATTGGCCTTATAACCATATATATATATATATATATATATATATATATATATATATATATATATATATATATATATATATATATATATATATATATATATATATATATATATATATATATATATATATATATATATATATATATAAGCATATATATATATAAGCATATATATATATAAGCATATATATATATAAGCATATATATAAGCGTATATATATATATATATATATATATATATATATATATATATATATATATATATATATATATATATATATATATATATATATATACTTGTGTGTATAATTTTTATAAATTAAGTTTATAAAAATACTTGAATATTTAAGAATCATAAACTTTTAATTACGATTCCATTTATAATATTTCAAAATTGCTTTTACAGAAAAGTAGTTAATCTACTTATTGAATCAGGTGCTGACATTTATTTCCGTGATAATTGTGATATGAACCCTTTGGACTATGCTGCACAATGTGGTCATGAAAAGATTGTACAGATTTTGCTTGGTAATGGCGCTTTTGTTGATGCTTGTAGCGAAAATGGTTATACACCACTGCATCATGCAGCACTTTCAGGTCATGTTGAATGTATAGTTGGATTGCTAGAAAATGGAGCTAATATTCAATTAAAAACAAAAATTGAAAATAAGAGTTGTTTAGATCTTGCGGTTGAAAGCTTAGAAAAAGAAGCATGTCTGGCAATTATAAAGCACAAACGGTTTTAGTTTATTTATTGTTTTATTTATGATTTATTTTAATTTTTTTTTTGCTACATATCACTTAAAGTAATGGTGTCATTTTTTTCAGGTGGCATGAAGCTTTTGTATCAATAGACAACAAGGAAACAGAAGTAAAAAAAAACAAAAATGAAAAAGAAAAAGAAAGAAAAGAAACTTGTGTTATGGAAAAAATTATTAAGCTTGCCCCAGAAATTGGAGAAGTGGTGTTTAATAAATGCATTACCCCTTCTAAACATGACAAGAAAGATCCTAACTATTTTATTGAATACAATTTTGAGTTTGTAGATAGTAATCCCGTGCGCTGTCAAAAACAATTTTTTGCTCCATCATCAATTGTTAATTTTCAGCGTGGAAAATTACTAGCTCATCCTCTAGTTGTTGAACTCATTAATCAAAAGTGGTTACGAATGGGTAGATGGATGTATTTATGCTCATTTAGTTTTTATTTATTGTTTGTTGTTCTTCTTACAACTTTTGCAGTTACAAGGAAAATGAAGTAAATATTTCTTTGTTTCTTTTTTAATCTTTTTTTTTAATGTAATTTTGTAATTTAAGTTTTTCGAGTGTGAAATAACAGTACGGCCGTGGTGCAGTGATTAGAGTGCTTGCTTTGATCAGGAGATCCAGGTTCGAAACAAGGTCCGAACATACTTTAGCGTCACGGTATGGAAAGAGGTGTGAACTTCCTGGTTAAATGCACATCCGCAGTGCTCTGAGACAAAACCATTAGGTCTTTTTGGGACACCTAAAAAAAAAATGTCTAAATAATTTGTTGTATAGTGAAAAAATCAGATAACATCAAAATACTCTGTTTATAAGTAGATAAGTTCTTTTATATTATAAAATTGGTATTTAAAGTTATTAAATATTCAAACCATTTTAAATCAGTTTTTTTGCTTAAAACTTGGATATTCGTTAAAGTAAATTATAAGTATATGTTAATTAAATTTTTTGCTTGTTTTATTTTAGTCAACTAGATGCAATCAGAGAACAGCAGAGCTACTCAAGAAACCATTTATCTAACAATCAAACATGGTGTAAAAGTCTTTCTATAAAAGGCATATATATTACTCTCAGCATAGCAATAGTGCAAGTTCTTTCACAAATAATACTATCTATTTATATTGGGAGAAGTTATATATTTGATCCTACTAAAATATTAGATTTTTTTTTATACATCGCAACAGCTTTACATTTGCTTTCTTTAATTACTTGCAAAAAAAATATTGAAAACAAGTTTGTTGAAACCGTAGTGTGGCAAGCTGGTACAGTTTCAATATTACTTGCATGGTGTAAATTTTTGATATACATGGAAAATTTACCATTTCTTGGTTTATATGTTGTTATGCTTATGGAGGTAATGTTAATTTGCATTTTAATTATTTTTATGTGTTTATTGATATTTAATTTAAGAGAAAAACTGTTCAAGCTCATTTTTAAGAGAGCAACTTTCTCTAAGAATCAGACAGAGGTCAATAGTGACCCTATTCAAAATCGCTAATTTTTGTGTATATTGTTGCTATTAACACTAAAAGCTTAATTCCAAAATTTTTTTTAAACATATTATTTGGTTCTTCTTTGTCTAAATATCATGCTTCAAAATACGCAAAAAATTATTTTTTTTGTCATTTTTGATCTTTGTTTTCATTCAAAGCCGCCATTACCCCATATTTGTGTATTTATTATGATCAATAAATGCCAAAATTACAAGTTGACTTGTTGTACCACTATTTTTATACATTTCTACAAGTTTTTCAATTTCATCTGGAATTTCTGTTTCAGCATTTTCATCACCTTCAAGCACTTTTAAAAGTCATAAGCACAATACAGAGAAAATATTTCTCTGCATTGTTAAAATTTTTGTTTAAACGATTTTCAATTAGAGATTTTTTGTTCCAATCACCAGCTGGCTCATAGCTCTATGACTTTTCTATGACTTCCATGACTTTTCCATGACATTCATAAAATTTTATAATAAATCACTAACCAGTAAATTATTCAGTACTTGCCATGCACTTAGCATTTGGTAAAAAGTTCTGAAACAATGTCTGAAAAAAAATTTTTTTCTCTTACTTCTCTGATAATCTATAATTTATACTGCAAAAATATATTTTTCAAAATGGGCTTAGAGTATACTTTTGTTTGTATCCTAAAAATATCACTAGCAAAAAAAAAAATAAAGATCATTTTAAAAAGTTTAAAAGAATTTTCTATGAGTTTCAATAAAAATTTAGGAATTCTATGATAATTTTTCCATAACCAAATAAAATTCCATGACATTTCATGATTTCCATGAACAGTGGTCACCCTGTACTTATATTATATTTTTCTGAACTATTGCAATACCACATAAGTATTTTTTATAAATAAGGTAGATAAAAGGTCAACACAAGTTTTTTTAATATGAATTTTACAGTGAGCCCAGGGCTTTAACCATTATCATGTCACAATCAATGCGTAAAAAGATAAAAAATTTCGTTTTTCAGTTTAATTTTGCGACTAAGCCTTTACTTTCCCATAAGTGTTTTTATACTTATAGGTACTTAACAAGATAAAGACTTATAAAAGCAACAACAAAAATATGGGGTAATCGCGGCTTTGAATGAAAACAAAGATCAAAAATGATATAAAAAAATCATTTTTTGCGTATTCTGAAGCATCATGTTTAGACTAAGAAAAAATTTCCCTTACCAATGTTATTAATTTTTGGTCTGAACTAGCTAATAAACTATAATCAAATGAAATACTCCTTGTAAAGTATTTACTTTGCTTTTTTTTTTTGAGTTCAAAAATACCTTCGACACCGTTTACTCAATATTTCTAAAAGTTCAGTCAAACTTTGACATCTAATATCTAGAGAACAGATTAATTTTTTTTTTAAATTTTGGAATTGAGTTTCTAGTATGAATAGTAACAACATTAAAAAATTGGTGATTTTGAAAGAGGTCACTCAAAAAATTTAGTATTTGGGGCTGATTCTTACCGAAAATCGCTCTTAACTATTTAAGAGCAGCTGTATACAAAACAAGATTTTTTGTTTTAGACTAAAAATGCAAAATATAAATCTTTTTAAAAATAACTTATTTAAATAAGGTTTTAATAACAATGTTGATCAAGAAGTTTATCTATATACAAATACTATATTTATAGATATCTGTGTATATAGTACACCATATATACCGAAAGGTTTTATTGTGCATTAGATAAAGGTGGAGAGGTTAAGGCCATCGCTCTTGACATTTTTAAAACATTTTAAAGTTTGGCATGCTAATCTTCTCCATAAGCTTTCTTCTTACGGTGTATCTGGAAACATCTTTAAGATTATTGAATCCTTCCTTTCCAATCGTAGTATAAAAGTTGTCCTTGATGGACAGCACTCTTCTTCTTATTCTGTAACCTTAGAGGTTCCTCAAGGTTCAATCCTTAGCCCTATACTCTTTTTAACTTATATTAACAATCTTCCAGATCTTCTCATAAAAGAAGCCAACTCTCTCTGATTGTTTGCAGGGGGCATTTGAGCTTGAAAAGGATCTCACTTCTTCTACAGCATGGGGCTCACAGTGGCTGGTGAACTTTAATTCAGATAAAACTCAATTTTTTACTCTAGATTCTATTCTATATTTCATAAATCTCAAATCCGGCCTTGTACTTGGAATACTGTTGCCATATCTGGGGCTGATTTTCTATTGATGCCCTTTCTCTTTTAGACAAGGTGTAAAAATGCATTGTAAACATAGTTAGACCTGCTCTTGCAGCAAACCTTCAACCTTTGTTACATTGCCGTAATGTTGCTTCTCTTTCTCTTTTCTACAAATACTATAATTGGGCACTGCTCTAAAGAGCTAGCGTCTCTTGTGCCATCTACTAAAATTCATTCTTGTGTTACTCGTCATTCAATTAAGTCTCACCCTTTTTCTGTTACTGTTCCTAAGTGCTCCAAAAACTCTTATTCGTTTTGTTTTTTTCCTCAAACATCAGTTCTTTGGAATTTACTTACCTTTATCTTGCTTTCCTAATTTATATAATTTTCAATCTTTTAAGTTGTCTGTCAGTCGTTATTTTGCTCTACAATCTTCATTTTTTCTCTTTCAGTAACTTCCAACACTAATTAGTGGTGGAAGTTACTGAATCTTGGAGCTATATAATTAATTTAACAACATGATTTAAACATTTCAAGTTTTTACATTTAAATTAGTGATAATTTATGTAAACATAATTTAACCTGCTCTTGCAGCCAACCTTCAACCATTATCTTATCACCGTAATGTTGTTTCTCTTTCTCTTTTCTACAAATACTATAATGGGCAATGCTTCTAAAGAGAATTATTTCACATAACCTTATTTTAAACTAGCGTTCTAGGTTCCAAACAGTTTACTTTTGTTGATTTATTATTGAATGCAATTTACACCAAAAACAAAAATTTGGATATGTATTTAAATATAAAAGTAGTATATCTGTTCTCTCTCTCTCTCTCTCTCTCTCTCTATATATATATATATATATATATATATATATATATATATATATATATATATATATATATATATATATATATATATATATATATATCTGTGTGTATAATACAATATATAGCTTCGTTTTTTATTAGTTTTCTGAGCTCCAAACAGTGTACATTTGTTGATTTATCATCTAAGGCAATATAAACCAAAAACAAAGTTTTAATTTTTTTTTTAGATTTGGCATTTAAATATTAGAGTAGTTTATCTGTTATCTCTTAACTCTTTTTAGAACAAACGCTTTTTTAAGATTGTGAAAAAGCAATGTAGAAAATGCTGTCTGATGCTAAACTCCAATATTCCCAGTTTATTAAGTATCATGTCTTAGCTCAGAAGTTCGGTTCTAGAGACTTTGGAAAATCTTCAACAATGTAAATAACATAAAGGTAAGTTGAACATTCCATCTTTATTTGATGTGTCTGTTCTTATTACCTCTATCAAAGATAAGGTAGATTGATTTTAAAAAAAAAGTTCTTCTAATTTGACTCTTGAATCTAATGGCCACACCCTGCCTATTATTCCAGTTTAAACATGTTAACCCATTGTTAGACATCCAAATTGCTCTGGTTTTTATTATTAAAATCATTTCTCAGTTAAAGAAACTACAGCTTGTTGTCCAGACAGCATTTCTGTCATAGTCTTGCAAAAGTATTTTACAGAACTCAATTTTGTTTTCCTGCATGCTGTAAAAAGTGTGGTCTGTGGTTTTCCTGCATGCTGTAAAAAGTGTGGTCTGTGGTTTTATTTATACAAAAAAGAAAAAAAAGAATATTCTTACAGAAATAAAAACCAACAAAAATGACAAAGTAAAGAGAAAAAAAAGATACTCATTTGATGAGTATGTTTTTTTTTTTATTGAACTTGTACCAGAAATTTGAAAATTGGTGCTTTACTAACACATCACTCCGATTAAACATAATAAGAAAGGTCCTGATTGAAAACAATTTTGAATGTGTAGATTTGACAAAGTCCCTAAGTCTTTAATATCCAAATTTCTAACATCTCATCTTGAGCCTATAAACATACTCTCAGACAATCATGTTTTTTATCTTCTCATTTGCCAACAACTGTAACTAAATAATTCTATTGTCTACGAGATGTAGAAATTTCAAAGATTTTGATAAAAATCTTTGAAATGTCTTCATTTTATCAATCTGGGAAAGAAAAAAATTATGTAACTCTTCTGACTTGCTAACAACTGTAACTAAAAGATTCTATTGTCTATGAGATGTAGACATTTCAAAGATTTCAAAGAAAAAAATCATTTTTTTCTGATTGCAGTTTTTAATTTATCCTTTCCTCAGGCAATTAATTTTTTTTGTTTCCAGTAACTTCTGGTGTGTCTCAAGGTTCTCTTCTTTTTCTTGTATTGTTTTTTACCTACATTAATGATCTTATTGATAATCTAAAGTAGAGATGTGCCATAACCAGTTCATGCCAAGTCCCCAATTCTGGGAACCAAGGAGGAAATTAGATTGATTGATTGGAGAGATTAGGTACCCAGCACCAGGACCATATGGAAAAGTTGGTATGAAATTGAATAAAGGTTTGTGAATTCTCTAGTGCTGAATTGTTTTCACAAAACAACTTTGATTAATTTGGGCTATTTAATTTCCCTTTAATAAGCTATTTAAGCCTAATTTTGCTATTTAATTTGTCAAAATATATAAAGTTTCTTTTTAATAAAAAGCTATATGCTATATTTGCACATGAGGTCATAAATTCTAATTTACACTTGAGGTCACATATTCTATGCAAAGTATAAACTCGATGTACATAAATATTCTTTCCCCTTCAGGGTTGTTAATACTGGTTATAAGTTGCCGTCTGATGTCGTTAAAGCCAAAAACATAAGCTTAAAAATAAAAATTAGCTCTATCAACTTCAAAAAAATACTCAAATCCATCTTTTTTATTTTTTTAAAGCTATATAAGTAGTTAACGAACAATAAAAAAAAGCACATAGATAACACGAAGCAAGAAATAAATAGCCAATTACTAACATAAATTTTTGTTCCTCTCACTAACTTGAGATATTTATTTTACCCATTTATTAATATATTTTGTATCATTATTTTCATAACAATAATAGTTCTTTAATTTTTACTACAAACAATTTTTTCTAAATTTTGCTAAAAATTAAAAATGGCAACATAATTTTTTAAAAATGTAACACCTGCTGAATAATAATTGTTGTTCTATAATAATTTCAATATAATTTAGTATGCAAGTATATAATGGTAAGAAATGTTATTTATATATATAGTATAAATACATTATGTATATTATAGTAATGGTACCAAAATAAAAAATTGGGCTAAAACTTAAAAATAGCAATAACTCTGATACAAGAATAATTAAAAAAAAAATTCAAACTTTCATTGTGAGTTTTAAGCTTTCAAAATTTCAAACTTTCATTGTATTATTAAAGTATTCATTGTTAAAAATGAATACTTTAATAATAAATCATTTTTGCACTGACTGTTATTGAAAATTGTTGTAAAGTACCTTTGTCTCTATGTTAACTTCTGTTTTTAACTCTATTTTAATATCTGCTTTTTTTTTTTTCTTAGCACTGTTTTTAGTATTACGCTGAGATGCTTAACATGGTGGTGGTGCGCAGTTAGGCAGAATTCACTTTTAATGGACAAAATTATTAACGAATTAAATATTAGGTTTTTATTTACTAAATTTGGCATGAATACTAATATGAGATCTGCGCTTCTTATGAAAGTGATATTTCTACATTTAGTTGCTATGGTACCTAATTTTGCTAAACGACAACCTATTTTTAATAGTTGCAGATGTTTAGAATATGTTATTTGCATTATAATTAGTTTCAGGGTTGCCAGGTTTTTTGTCGGGCACAAGCCAAAAACGAAACAAAAATAAACCAGAAATAAATCAGACCAAAAAAAAAGAAATTTATATTTTTTTGTTTTAAAGCCTTGTTTATAATTTATATTTTGAAAAAAAAAATTTTTTTATCTAAAAATTCATCCTTGAACTAAGAACTGGCACATTAAATATTTACTAACTCGTTTTTCTCCTCCTCCCTCACTCTCTTACAAATTAAATTGTAAGGATATAAATATGCATATGGATATAAATTTCTTTTCTAACCTTTGCGATAATTGAATCAATTATTTTGATTTTGTAAAAAATTTTTGGCCTTATTTAATATAATTTGATTCAAATGACTGCGTGCAAGACTTGGTTTGATATTTTCTTTTATGCAGATGACCTGTGAGAAGACTCAACAAAATAGTTAGAAACGAAACTTATAGATAGCCAAGGCAGTTGGCATCTATGTTGCAGAGGTCTTGATGATTTTCAATTTCTTCACTTTTTGCATTCATAAGATAGTCCAGTAGATTTGATAGATAATCCAGTAGATTTGAAATGAACTTTCCTATTCGGAAACAACATTCATTACAGGCAGATTTTTCTCAAAAAATGTCATTTGAATGTAAGAATTTTCTATTATTTTTGGCAATTTAGGGATAAAAACAAAATTTTAATGACATTACAAGTAAAAGTTTTTTACATTTTAAGATTTTAATGAAAGCATTTCTTTCATTTATTTTAAACTTGATTGTTCTTCTATGAAATGAAAAAATGAAATCTTTTTTTCCCTCAAATTAACTATGAAATAAAAACTTTATTAAATTGATTTATTATTAAATAAACCAGAATTAAACCAGATTTAAAAAAAAATACCAGAAAAAACAAAAAAAGACCAAAAACCTTAAAATAAACCAGATTTAAACCAGATTTTTTAAAATAAACCAAAACAAAAGTTCCAAGCCAAACGATAAAAAAAAAAAAACAGATTTGGGAAAACTGGTTTTAAAAAACACCAAATGGCAACCCTGATTAGTTTGTGCATTATAATGAAATCTGCTCCTGCTATATTTACTAAATTTGGCATGAGTACCAATAAAAGGGCATACATATGGAAGTCATAGTTTTTTTTAATTTAGTTGCTATGGATACCTACATTGCTTAACCACCAGATACTTTTCTTAGTTACACAAAGATAAATAAATATTTGAATAAATTTTTTATTGAATTTTCAACCGTCTTATTTTAAATAACTGTTAAATATTATATATTAAGGTAATTAATTTTAGGTAAAAATTTAAGTTATTAATAACAAAAACAGAAAATATTGCAATAAAGCATTGACAATTTGAAACACTTTAATAACTTATAAAACATAAATACATGCGTAAAATAAGAAATCATATTTTGGAGTCAACAGTCGTAAAAATAATAATAACATCATTATTTAGATATCAAACAGCTCAGTATAGAAATAATATTAGCAAATAAGCTTACCTTAAGGCAGCACTTTTGCCATAAATCTGCATTAATTAGCAGAGCTGATAACAATGTGGCCAAGATGACATGTAACTTTTTCAGCAGTAGTACATCCAGCTTTAAAATTTTAGTTACAATACTTTTCAGATTAGAAAAAACAACGAGCTGTATTTCCATCATTAGATGTCCCAGAACCACCAGATCTGGGCACACCAACAATTAATCCAAGACGATTTTTAAAGACATCTTGGATTTTTTTTGTTTGTTTGTTATCACAGATAACTTTTCTTTTGTGCTGCACACCTGCCCCTTTTAGTTATCCAATTTGTAAGCAAGGTGAAGACTGCATTCGATTGTTCTAATCTATGCATGTAGTAATGACAAGCCATGCATGTAATAATGAGAAGTCATATTGTATGCTAGAGTATTTTGCATTTTAATATTTTGATACCATTTTTCCATATTGTTCATCATTTTTGATTTGCTACCACACACTGAGCAGGACTGTGATGCAATGGTCTCGACTAATTAGGCTAATGTCACTTTACCATCTACCATGGTTATTTCAATGATATTTGGCACATTTAAATAATTTTGTTTAAAAGTCCCATATATCATTGAAATATTAAACTATTATTCATTTATTAGAGCTTAAAATGATATTAGCATCCATAACTGTAGCTAAGTAGTACTTTTTAAATGTTAAAATGGAATGAAATAGCAATCAATAGTGTTGCATTGCAAAAATGAATAAAAAAAGTTAGGTATCCATAGCAACCAAATAAAATTATGACTTTAAAAAGTGTGAATCTCATTTTAATACATGTATTTAATATAGTGTACATAGTACCAATAAAAATCTGTTAAAATAACGTAAAAATAAGTTGTTGCTATGTAAAATTTGGTACCATAGCAACCAAAAAAAAAAAAAAGGAAAAAAAGATTCATTTAATATGGCACATTTAAGCCAATAAAATTAAACTTTTGTGTTACACCTATTCTAATATTCATTTCTTAAAACTTAAAATGACATTAGCATCTATAACTGTGGCCTTGTAGTTTTACCTTTTAAATGTTAAATTGTAATAAAATAGACATCAATATTGTTTTAATACAAAAATAGTTAAATAAGATGATTAAGAATTATTTAACAACAACTATAATAAAGTAACTCCAGAACTTTTATTAGATATATATATATATAAAATATAATAAAATAACTCCAGAACTTTTATTAGATATATATATAAAATATAATAAAATAACACTAGAACTTTTATTAGAGATATATATATAAAATGTTGTATATGATTTTTAGACAGATTGGGTCATGTCAAAATTTTGTGTTTTGTTTGCACCTGGCCCACTGTGGGGTGGGGGAAAGGAGTTGTTGGTCATTTTTTAGATTTACTATCACTCCAAATTAATATATATGACCCAATTATTTATTTATGTTTACTTGTTATCAATAAAGTATTTGTTTTTAATACTTAAGTGAAGTATTTTCAGTATTTTATGTTAAAATAACGTTGATTAATAATAAAAATCTAGTAAATATGAACTATATAAACTTTTGTTTCCATTACCATATTATTCATAATATAAATAATATTCTTGCAACAATAAACTTGCATATTAAACCCTATTAAAACTAATATACAACAGCAATTATTATGCAACAGCTGTTGCATTTTCACACAACGAGAATAAGTTATTGATTGTTGAAAACTTGTTGTTTATTGTTGAAAAAAATAATAAAAAGAAATAAACATGTTAAAACATAGCCGCATCAAGGTTACCTTGCAAGAGGTCTGAGAGAATTTCATTCAGATCTTAAAGATGTTATGCATGATAATTCTTTAAAAAATGCCTTGTGAAAAATTCCCACTTGAGCTTTTATTATAACTCTCCTGTTTGTTAGATCTAGACAAAAGTACCTCCACACCCACCCTTTTGATCATCATGGTTATCTGGTGCTAGCTTGTCATTTGTGAAGAATTTTTTTTACAAACTGATAAATAAAAAATAATGAGAAAAATTCTTTTATAACTTTGACAGCTCAATGTTTACAATATATGTCATACTGTTGCCAATATAAAAATGCTGGTTCATATCCTTACTTAAGATTACTGCTGTGTTTATGTTACTTATAAAGTTATGTGAATATAATTATTACCCACTCATTATAAATCTAATCTGGCCTAATTATAAATTTATTAAAAATCTAATCTGGTCTAATTATAGATTTATTAAAAATCTAATCTGGCCTAATTATAAATTTATTAAAAATCTAATCTGGCCTAATTTAAATTTATTAAAAGTTGTTTATTCAAATATATCTTAATGAGAATAACTTTTTTATACAAAGTTTTAAGTACAACAAAACCTTTTCTAATATTTAAACCAATAAAGTTTGCATGTATGTTAAATTAAATGTACAAAGTGATTGCTTTTGTTTTATTTTAGGTTCTTTACACATTAATCAAAGTATTGTTAATCTTCAGCATTCTTTTGATTGGTTTTGCTTTGTCATTCTATTCACTACTTGATTGCCAAGCGCCATTCAGTGATTTTGGTCATTCAATAATCAAGACATTTGTCATGATGCTTGGAGAAATTAACTATGATATTATCTATACATCCCATTATGGTGATCTAAATATAAATTCTAATGGACCTAAAAGTTCTGCAGAGCTATCTTTATTAGTTTTCATTCTCTTTGTTTTAATCATGTTAATTGTAATGATGAAATTGCTTGTAAGTTTATACCTATAATTATATCAAGTTGTTTTTTTTTTTTTTTTAAATCACAACAACTTGGTATGTGTAAATACTTAGATAAAAACATAGATTATTATTTTGTATAGATATTCTCACAATTTGAAATTTTTTTATTTTATTATTATTATTTTTTGCTTAAAACTGAAAACAAAACAAAGTTTTTTTTTATTTATAAACTTATTGAGTTAACAAATGAGTTTAAATGATAAGTTTAGTGACTTTATAAAATGTTATTTTTTTATTTATATTTATGTTTTATTCCAAGTTATGTTATGTACATGTAATTTTAATTGGTTAGGATATAATAAGTACTTCTAAAAATATTAAGATGTTAGCTCTAAGTAATAAAACTGTAACAAATGACATCTTAAGACCAAAACCAAACCAAGAATTAGTAAAAGTTGTATCATACCCTGTCCAGTTCAAGATCAACCTATTCCAAAAGTACCAAAAATGTTTTTATACGGAAGTGTTATATAGACATTGTAAATACATTAGAGGTGTTTTTAAAACTTTCAGTTTTGTTCAAGCCAGATTTTTGCACTTTTTAACAGGTGGATTTTGGAATTTTTGTTTTCAAAATGGTTAACTTTGAAACATTGTAAAAATTCAAAACTTTTATATATTCAAGATAAAATAAAATAAGGATAATTTACAAAAAATTATGGCAATCAGAACTTGAGGGGAAAAGTATCCCAGTAAATTTTCCCTCATGACCTCCGTCAAGAAAAATTTCATTTTTTTTTTTTAAATTCATTATTTTATAGTACACCAAAAAATTTAACCTAACACCTATGCAGTGACACTTTTAGGAGAAGTCGGTGCTGAATACTTTTCAAGGTATTTGAGATACTTGTTTCTCAAATACCTTGAAAAAATCAACTTGTTTCTCCGCGCAGCGGCCTTGTTCGTCAAGGTTCGTGTTTCGGAGTTATAGAGTTGAGAGAGGGTTATAGCCACAAAATAAGTAGCCTCCTCGTCTGTAGTGGCCTTTTCGGCCTTGAGGAGGTGAAGTAAAATAAAAAAAAAAAAAAAAAAAAAAAAAAAAAAACTTTGATTTATTAGTTTTTTGGAGTTTACAGTATTTAAATATTGCTGGTTGATAAGCATGATTCTTCATATCGAAGAAAATCATCTAAATCTCCATCCCTATGTTGAAATGCAACATAAAGTGATGTAAAGATTTTGCATTTCTCCTTTAACATTACTGTTTTTAGCCTTCCATTTTGAGTTGTAAGGATTTTTTTCTCTAAACAGACATAAATTATTTTTGGAGATTGTTTATATATTGAATCTTTTCCAGTTGTTAAACCGTTTTGAATATAACATCTGGATGACTTGTTTTCTTAGCTTTTTTGACAGATGCCATAGCTTCTGCATCAAGTAAATACTTTGTTGATAAATGAATGAGAATATCTTCTTCTATTAAAAATAAATTTCCGAAATCTTTTATAACTTCAATAAACTCTGATACATGTTCATATTAACTCTTATCAAAGAAAAGGTGTAACTTTGTAATGATTCTTTTTATTATATATTTCTTCATCTCTAAACCCCATTAGAAGCTCCTCAAGAAGTGGCTCGCATGCCATCTGCTTTATCAATGCACTTGATCTAAATCATCAAATGAGCCACCATCTCTTTATGACTTTGATGTTTTGTTAAATGGGATGATCTATAGCTATAGATAAAAAAATGAATGTTTTGTTTTTTGAAATGCAAAAAACAATTTGCAGAACTCAGTTTAAACATGATAGTGTTTATTAGGGAGTATCTTCATGTGAGTCAGATTAATTGGAAGCCATCTAGAATAGTGTGTGTGATCTAAAGCAAATATTCAAGGAACAGTGTGTTACAAGAAACTGACAAATATATTAAAACTTACTATTCTGAATCTCTTAACAAGCAGCAGGACTATTGCTTGTAATTCCATAGCAGTAAATCAATAACTAAATTGCAAACGGTGTATACTTGTTCTTTGTTAATGAGTCAAAGGAAGTTGTAGATTTTTTTGGAATGCTTTAGTCATTAGTCAATATTAACCAGCTAATAAAATTTGTTTTGCATAACTCAAACATTTTACTTATTGACTAGTCAGTATAAATTCAGCTTGTCCAGAAGTTGTTATACCAACTTTAGTTATAGCATAACACCAACCACTACATTTTAATCAATCTCCAAGCAAAGACAAGGGGGGCCATTTCTGTGTGTAACTCATCAATCAGCATTAAAAGTTTATCATTGCCATGCAGTTTTCGGCAGTTCCACTGAACTTGTTTACCTAAAGCATACACTGGTCGGTCAGCAGTTATAAGGATTTTGGGTTGATTTTTGCTAAAACTTCATTAACTATATTTAAAGTTTGTCTTACCATTGATGTTGAATTGATTAATTCATTAATGGTTAGCAACAAAACAGAAGTATTTTTTATTTTCTGTTCATCTTTATCTGTATCTAAATATTTATATTTATCTGTATCTAAATATCTAAATTAAATTAAATATTTAGGTACTTAGTAACAAAATATGTAAATTAAATCCTTTTTTACGAGTACTCTTCTCATATTGTCTATTAAATTATTGTTATTGTTATTATCATTTTTTTTTTAAATATATATTTTTGTTATTATTAATGATAATTACTATTTTCTTCTTATGTTTTTATTTTGCAAATAGCAGAAAAAATATATACAGCTATACTGCTTCATATTGTTGTATTATTATTGACATTATTATTAGTATTGTATATTTACTGTTATTATTATTATTAATATTGTTGTTATCAATATTATTATTATTATATAAATTACACCATCATAGGTGGTTATTGTTATATCATCACATTATTCTTATATTAATATTATTATGCTACAAAGTATACCATCATAGGTCTTTACGCGTCATCAGTTTGTAACTGTTTGTAAATGTCCCGCACGAATGTATATATTTACAGTTATATTAGAGTGGAAATATATTGATTTGATTTGATTTGATTTGATTTTATCGACAAGTGTTTTTTTATTATTGCAAGAGGTCAATGCGGGGGTCTAGTCTGATGCTGTTCTCAGTTTGCTGTATTTTGTATCTTACCTCAGATGTTTCTACTTTTCTCTTTTTTACAAATATTATAATAGTTGCTGCTAATAGGAGCTAATATCTTGAGTTATATCAACTAAAACTCATTATTGCTTGACTCACCATTCAGCAAAGTCTCATTCTATTACTCTATCTGTCCTTGCATGCTCTAAAAACCTATATTAGTCTAGTTTTTTTCCTCGCACTTTAACTTTTAGGAACTCTCTCCCACCTTCATGTTTTCCTGATTCATACAATCTACAACTTTTCAAGTCTTCTGTCAACCTATTCCTTACTCTTTATCTTTATTCTTTTTGTTTCTAGTAACTCCATAAGTTATAAGTGTTCATAAGTGCGCCGAACAAATTTGCAAACATTGGCATAAGTAAAATTGCCATAAGTACGCCAAAAGAATTTACAAACATTGGCAAGTGTGAACTGTCATAAGTGCAAATTAGTATAAGTGCGAAGCACTTGCAAAAACTGGCATAAGTGCAAATAAGTATAAGTGTGCCGAATAAAATTGCAAACATTGGCATAAGTGCAAATTGGTATTTTGCACTTATACCAGTTCGCATTTATGCTGATTTGCACTTATGCAAGTTTTTGCAACTGCTTCGCACTTATGTCAGTTTGCACTTATGTCAATGTTTGTAAATTTATTTGGTGCACTTATGCCAATTCGCACTTATGCTAGTTTCTGTAACTGCTTCGTACTTATGCCAGTTTGTATTTATGCCAATGTTTGCAAATTTGTTTGGTACACTTATGCCAATTCTCACTTATGCCAGTTTGCACTTGTGCCAGTTTTTGCAACTGCTTCGCACTTCATGCTAATTCGCATTAATCCCAATGTTTGCAAATTCTATTGACGCACTTATGCCAGTTCGCACTTAGGCCATTTATACTTAAATCAGTTATGCCAATGTTTGCACTTATGAAGTTTGCGCTTATTCAGTCGTCCCCTTGTTGAGGGTTAATCAGAATTTAAAAAAAATATCTATAATTTTTTTTGAATAAAATGCTGTATAAGAAATTACCATTGTGTCTTTCCTTCTGATTTGTTTAGTAAAACCGTAACTTCAGATGTCAACCACTCTCTTGAGTCACTAAAATCATTAAAATTTTTGAATTGATGGAAATTTGTTGTTTTTGTAGAATGTTCTACAAAATGGTCTATAATAGGTTTTATTGTTGTGTAGTTCGATGGTAGCTCCAAATTAGTGTTAGTCACTTATTCGGTATCAGCATGCTGAAATATGGAGATGAAGTTTCTTGAAAAAAGTTATTAGCTGTACTAGAAGAAGGGATGTGACCAATCTTATCAATTACTGTGTTGTATAAACATTTTCAAATTTTATTTGGTCATGGAAAAAGTCATGGAATTCCTAAATTTTCATTAAAAGTCATGGAAAATTCTTTAAATTTTTTTCATTAAAATTCATGGAACTTTTTAAAATGCTCTAATGATTTATCATAAAAGTTTATGAAGAAAAGTTTATGAAAAAAAATTCATGGAAAAGTCATGGAAAAATTCATTTTCAAATTTGAGTGGCCACCATGCTTTAGCTTTTTTAGCTACTACAAATAGTTTTTGTTTTTGTGTTGTTATTGAATTCAAAGTCGTTAAAAGTTATCCTTTCAAGCACCAAGTGGTTGTTGGTGTCCAAAATAAGTTTTAAATTAGCTTTTTCATAATGTAGTAAAACAGAAAAAATACTGTATTCCATAATGCAGTTTAGCTAAGAAAAAACTTATTACTTGGGCAGCAAGTTTAACACTCCTCAATATATATGGTGTCAACTTTATA